GAACCCTTCGTATGAACAAAAGTAAGAGAAATTTAGGACAAGAATATGAACATGTTATTGCATGAGGCCCAATGAAACTAAAAAATGCTCCCACGGATGTTTACATCAAAAGATTGCTGATTCGCTTATTTTGCTGTCAATCAAAAAGAGACTCAGCCTCCAACAGATCATCCAATCATCATGCAGAAGCTGAGCGTCCAGCCCAGCCGAGGCCAGCCCCCTGCCCCATAGACCCCCAGAGACGCTGAGCATCCGATGGGCGGGACAAAGCCAGCGTTTATCCAATGACTCGTCTCGTTTTGCTGCACTTTTTGTTTCGCTGTTGAACTCTGTGGAAGCTTAAATCACTGTGAAGCTGCAGGAATCAGACAGGAGAGCTGCGTCATTACCAGTGATAAGAAGCTGATTCTGAACGAAAGTTGAGCATGTTGTAGTACATATTTAGTCAATGACATGAACACACAACAGTATATATTTGATCACTTATTATTTTTTTATGTTTTAGAGCAATCGCCTCTGATGTGTTTGTCCTAGGTTGTTTAGCTATGGTGGCCAATTAAAATAATTTGTCTCCAAAATTTAATTAGTTGTAGATATGAATCATTACTTTCTGACAGTTTCACTAAAACCTGTCCAGTGGTTCACAACATATTAACAGAGAAATCCTGGATGGAGGTGTACAACAAATTAGGGGAAGGAGGGGGGCATTGCCCCCACTGGCCCTCCCTGTGGTGGCGCACCTGTTTAATGTGTTTTAATAATGGAAGAAGGCAGTAACTGAAGAATGATACTACTACAAAGACAGTTTTAAGATAAAAGAAAAACAAAAGCACACTAGGATCCCAAATCTCAAGCAGCTATATAGAAATAAAATTTCTCACCAAAACATGTCTTTTAATGAGAAGTTATTGAGTGTTTTCATAGAGACAAACAGAAAGCCCCTCCTCTTCTCACATGACCCACTCGGGTTACTCATTCAACATGCTGCGACAAATGCTCTCGAGTTCAGCAGCATTTTAGTACCAGCAGGCAGAACTTTGTATTATTGCTGTAAAACGGCTTTAAACTAGAAACAGCAGAACTCTCTGAAACACGTAGCTAACGAAGGCCTTCATTTCCATAAGATACAAGAGATGCTCTGCCCTCCTCCTGCCTCGGTCTCCTCACAGACAGACCGTCACCCGGCAGGATAATTAATTCAAAGGTAGAGCTCTCGCTAAAAAAAAATATAGTTTTGCACCCAAATATCTCATAAATTACAAATGACTTACTGAAGTAAAATTTCTGACGCTCTCGTCTCGCCTTTTCCCAATAAACGAAGAAGAAGCCGTGACTCCTGCTTCCCGTTAGCTAGCGCAGAGATGATCGTCCAACAGCCAATAGGAGGTCAGAAATTGTACAAAATCCCGCCTACTTTGTAGAGTCATAGGTCATACTTAGCTATGATTGGTTGTTGACAGGAAAGCTTTAAGGCTGCCCGCTGATTGGCTATGARGTGTTCCTGGTCTGACATTTTGTTTCCAGTATCAGATTTCATCTTGTGGAGTTCATCTCAAAACAAACAGAACTTGTTCTTTAGGAAAGAAGTCACCTGCAGCAGACTTTTTAAATTAACTTTTTGTCTGTTGTGCCAGAAAGATTTGGACTTCATAATAGGAACATTTAATAAAATTAAATTTGAAAAATTGTTATCAAAATTGTTGCACACACATTAAAAGTTAACACTTGTGCTTTTTTAATGTTCTAAAAAAATCTGATTTAATGTCAAAAATCTGTTAAACAATATTGTCTTTTAACTTGTGCTCTATTTATAACTAGTGAGTTACAAACAGTGATGTTTATAAAAAAAAAATCAGTAATATTTTGGGGGTCTTCTTTATTCAAGCAAAGTTACACTATACAGACAAAAGGATTTGRACACACTTTACCAGCACACTAACAGAGACTGTATGAAGTTTGTCCCACCTTTGCATCCATAACATCCTCCACTTCTTCTTCCAACAAGAACTTGGATGGTTTCTGTGGGAATGTGTGCCCATTCTTACTTTATAAAGCATTTATCCCTGTTCATCCCAAAGGATGCTCGACAGGGTCATGAAATCACATTTTTGTAGCTTGATGGGACTTTTTTTTAACAGAATAAATCGATTCAAGCAGTCTTTTACTCTGTCTGTAATCAGATATTTTAAATCCTAATCTGTCACTGGAGTGTGTTATGTGTGTTTGCTACCTAATTGCTCCTTGGGGATGATAAGTCCACCCTGACCCGTCTTGTCCATAGGAGCTCAGTCATGTTCAGTGCTGGACTTCACAAAGGGCTTACCAGGGCAGGAGCCAGGGCCCCGAGGTTTGAAGGGCCCCCATATTGTAGTTTTATTTTTAATGAATGGATGTTTTTTACACACCAACTCATACCTACTTACACTATAATGCAAACCTACATCCCTGGAAAGAGTTGTAATAATCAAACAATTAACTGCTTAATGCTTTAAAGGGTTTGACTTTTATCCATTCAGTCTGTTTGCAAATAAATTTTAAACATCTCAATGTTTAGTCAAGCACAGCAGTTTAAAAATATATCATCAGAAAGGTTAGATGCTGGGTGCTTACATTAGTTTACTCTCCTAAAACTACTAAGATTGGAAGATGTGAGGACAGCTTCATGTCAGAAGGACATCTAGTGGTTACAACCTGTCACAGCAGTTTTATTAGTGATTAGCCCCAAATGAGTAATTAGGACTCAAATCAAACCTCAGCAATATTTCAGTCACTTGTTCTGAGTTTCACATTAGTCCTGATATACATTTAATTCAAGGATCATTTTGTCTTTTATGTTGATAAATGTCAGTTTTTCTTGTTTTCTGTAAACTCAATACTAATATTTCYAACACTAACTGTGCTTCTCTCAAGAAGTCTGTTTAGTACAGATGTACACCAGAAGTGGTTTCCCAAGACAATTAACATCAACCAACAAAATTAAAAAAGCTCCTAAAATGTGATTTCGGTAATCTCCCAATTTTAACATTTTTTTTAAAGAATCCAATTCTAATTTTGAGATTAAATGATCCACAAGTTTAACAAGTGAAATACTTAATTGGATTGAGATCAKGTGACTGACTTGGCCATTGAAGAATATTTCACTTCTTTGCTTTAATTAACTCCTGGGTTGCTTTGGCTTTATGTTTTGGGTCATTTTCCATCTGTAATATGAAACACAGACCAATCAGTTTGGCTGCATTTATCTGGATCTGAGCACACAGTTTGTCTCTGAATACCTCAGAATTCATTCAGCTGCTTCTGTCCTGTGTCACATCATCAGTAAACACTAGTGACCCAGTGCCACTGGCAGCCATGCCCAAGCCATCACACTGCTCTGCTGTGTTTTACAGACGATGTGGTGCTTTGGATCATGAGCTGCACCACACCTTCACCATAGGTTTCTCTTTCCATTTATCTGGTTGAGTTTGATCTTGGTTTCATCTGTCCAAAGAATGTTCTTCCAGAACTCTGCTTTTTTTTTTTTTTAGCAAAGTCTAATCTTGCCTTTTTATTCTTGAGTGTCTTGCAGCGTGCAGTGAACCCTCTGTATTTACTTTCATGCAGACTTCTCTTTATGGTAGATTTGGATATTGATACTTCTACCTCCTGGAGAGTGTTGTYCACTTGGTTGGCTGTTATGAAGGGGTTTCTCTTCTCCATGGAGATTATTCTGCCATCATCCACCACTGTTGTCTTCTGTGGGCGTCCAGGTCTTTTTGTATTGATGACTTCAGCAGWGCTTCCTTTCTTTCTCAAGATGAACTATAGAATTTGACACTCCTAATATTTTAGCAATTTCTTGGATGTTTTTTTTTCTGTTTTCACAGCTTAAGGATGGCCTTAGAGCTTCTTTGACAGCATGTTTTCTTCAAAGCAAAATCATCCAAATGTCCATTATATAACTATAACTTGAATATGTTTCAGTAAACATGTAAAAAAAACACCCTAACTTCATGTCAGTGTCATATGGGCGTAACAAAACTCTGTAACAAGCTGAGCTACTGAACAGGTAACAGGCGGTGTTACTGAGGTTTAGATTAATTTTTGTTTCTAAACTAAGTCTCAGTCTTACGTGTTTTGAATCTCCTGTTTTTAGTTGAATTACGTGCCTTGTTAATTGTTTCAAATGTGTAATTTTCCTTTTGTTAACAAGTTTGAACCTTTTATTGATAAACCATTTTTCCTCCACCTGAAAAACCTGACCAAACATTTGCACATCGGGTCACGACCGATGCAAAAGTGGTCTCATTTTAACATGTAATATTTTTTTACACTTAAAGTGAAATGAAGTAATAAAGCTCAACAACATCGCATTATTGCTAAGTTTTCTGCTTTGGTAATGCAGTTTTGCTTCCATTCTCCAGGTCTGTCGTAGATCCAGTTAAGCCTGATTTACCTGGACTGTAGTCCAGCTGGGATTGYAATAAATCCTGGCAAAACCAAGTTTAGGATCGATGAAATAAGGTCCTCATTATGAAAAAAGAGAAGTTTGGGGGGTGAGCTGACAGTTGCTTCGTATGGAAGATAACGTGATTGGCTCAACATAATTTATTTTCATTTTATGTTAAAATGTACAGAGGTTTTTTTTTTTGCTAAGAAAGAAAAACAAAAAATAATAAACAAATGAATAAATGGAAATACATACAGGGCCAGAGTAGAGAGCTGAGGTGGCTGAGCGCGACTCCAGGAGCTCAGGCCTCACCTTGTCTCTTTATTTTGCGCTCTCTCTTAGCATACAACGCAACATGTACAATTACAAAGGATACAAAAAGGGAAGCAATATAAACAGACAAATATACTGAGCTCATTTGTACATGCCTCTTAAATGTAAGGAAGTCATCCTATACACACACAAGTAAAAAAACAGAAAGAAAAAAATGTCAAGTGACCTTTAGATATTTGTAGTCCTTTTGTTTAAAATAGCATTAATATACTACACAAAGATAGAAAAACTCTAGAGATGAGATGGAATGGAGAGGTTAAAGGCATCTTAAAGTCACTAAAAGTGAGTTGTAAATTTTTTTACATTTTGAATTTCTTAGTAATTATTACCCAAGAGGCGAGCTAAAAAATACGTTTTCATTTTTGTTTTTGTTGTTGTTTCCTGAAACAGAAAGCAAAGAAAAATGACAGTACCAATATCCTTGTCAGAATTACTTTTTTATATTATAGAAAAAAAAAAACATTTTCTCTACAATAGCTTTCTAAAGACAAAACATGAAAAATAAAATAGTCAGCTTGTCATAAAAAAAGCTGCCCAGTTTGATAAAATTCAGAACAGAAAACAACAAAAGAAACAAGAACAGAATACACATGAAAAAAAGGTATGCATGTCATGTCAGAAAACTGTAATTTTTTTTCTTTTTACTTTGAACACTGGTAAATGGAGCAACAAGGTCAACTGCCTGCCAGGTACAAGACCTCCAACACTTACCCGCCTCAGACCCTGCGTCTTATAAGTGCGCCTCCGTCCGCGGGCCGAACCGTGCACTAGATCGGGCATTAGGCACACCTTTCAGAAAGGCTGACTCTATGCTGCCATATGTCTAGTCAATGGGAGTGCAGAGTTTAGCAGAAACGAAACAAACAAATAAAAAAAAATAGAAATACAGTTTTACTGAAACACACCAGTCGAAAGCAGACCCCTCAAAATGGTTTTGGACCACGAACACCCGAGGAGGCGAGTCCAGCTAAAAATGATCCGACTTGGAGCAGGAAGTGACGACGCAACGGTCTGCTCTGCATTCTCTAAGCTGCTAAAAAAGACTGACGCTGTACAGTCTTTCAGTGGAGTGTGGACAAAAAGAGCTGAATGTTAGACTTTCCTGAGCTAGCCATCGACTGGCCACAGCTGCTCAGTGTGTGTGTGTGTGCTGAGTATTGGGAAGTACCAGAATATTTACATCTAAATGTTTCAAAGTGGCGGCAAACTAGAAAATAATGCTACTCATTTCATTTATGGATATATAATAGCAACACGCTAGTTTCTTTTGTGTCTTCGCTGTGTTTTTGGTACAACACGTGTCCATCTGGGGAAGACGGATTCTCTGGAAACGGCTCGACGCCACCTCCGACGCCCGAGGCACCTGCTCTGAGGCTTTTCTGGAACGTGGAAAAAGGCCGCCGGACCAAGCAGCACCTCGGAGATGCTCGGCTTTCTCTGCAAGCAGGAGGGCGTGTCGTCATTTTTATTTATTTCTTWTTTTTTTTACGAACGCCACACATATAAAGACCAAAGCATACAGGATGTCGAACTGCACACGAGTATTCCAAACAAATAAAAAAATAAAAAGTCAACAAAAACAACAACAAAAATAAGACTCGATGTTATGTTTAACAAAAACAGTCCGCCTACAACATTTAGTCTGTTTTTTTTCCAATGTAAGGCTTCCTATGATAATTAAAAGATTGTGTGCATGGTTGGATGTRTTCAGTTATTCACTGTTTATTTGTCTGCAGTCTGAAAGAGCGAGGGATTCCTGAACTGTCTTTCTGTGTCGTTCCCTGGCCGTTCTTGTCCTCTTTACGTTTCTGCTGCATGATAAAAAGGAGACTCCTGTAGCTGTGGGAAGCCACGTTAGAAGGCCGATCCAGCCTTGAGGTCTATGTGCTCGTCCAACCCCAAGCTGCGCCCCAACGCAGCCAGTAGGAGGGGAAGGGAGAAGCAAGCCCAGATACAATCAGGATGCAACGACAACAGAAAAAACAGGAAACCAACTCATGCTCTGTCTCCGATCCCTTACACCCCCTGGTGCCTGCAGAGGCACTGGACAAGGTAGAGGGAGTAATGGACATGTAGAATCCAGCGAGCGGTAACTCTAGCCCCACGTCTTCAGTGTCACTTCTTTGTTGCTCATCTGCTCATGTAAGGTGACTGTTTCGGGACTCCGGCGTAGCTGTGATGGGAGGGGCCAGTGTACATCATGTTGCCATGGTGGTTGGGCTGCATAGGCTGTTGCGGGTAACCCTGCCCTCCCATCATGCCCATCTGCATCTGCATGGGGTACTGAGTGGGCTGGTTCATGTAGGCCGGGTTGCTGTGGTACCCGCTGTTCATCATGGTTTGGGGCATGCGGTAGCCGGCCGACATGGCGTTCAGGGGCGTCATGTTCATGGAGTTGTACGGCGCTGGCGTGGGCATGAGATTCGGCATCATGCCRCGCTGGACCGCCAAGGTGCGCGGCGTCCCCTGCATGGCCACGGCCCCCGAGCTGCGGCCGTACAGCTGCTGCTGGTGCGGGGCCGGGGCCAGCTGCTGGGTGGCTTTGGATCGGATGGAAATGTGACCCTTGACKGTAGCCATCTGGCCCTGCAGCCTCTGCGTGTGCGGGGGTCCCAGGCTGATGTTGGTGGCGGGCATGTTGCACTGCAGCTGCAGCGAGCTCAGGTTCATGGAGCCCGAGCTGAGGTTGGGAGGGGAGGTYATGGTGGGCTGGCCCTGTGGGAGAGGAGCGTGGGGCGAGGGGGCCAGCCCGGGGTTGGACAGCGACACGCTGGTGGCGTAGGAGGTGACGGAGGCAGAGTGAGAGTAGGGCATGGCGTGGGGGTCCATGATTGTGTTGGTGAGCTGCTGGAGCTTGGCCAAGCTGAACGTGGCAGTGGACTGGGGGTAGCCCCCTGTGCCAAAGTCCTGGCCCATGCGCTCATACAGGGTGCGGCCCCCGCCCCCGCCCCCACTCTCTGGGATCTCCATGATCATGGGTGTGGAGGCGAAGCCGTTACCCATGCTGCACTGGGACAGGGCCTGCTGCGGGGGTGGTGGTGGGGCAGAGGGATGGGGCTGAGAGTTGGGGGCTTGTTGTTGCTGAGGGGGCTGTTGGGGGACCTTTTTCTGGGCCTGAGGCTGCTGCTGCTGCTGGTTGGTGCTCGGAGGTCGCTCGATGACGCCGCAGCTCTGAGGGGACTTGATGCCACAGCTGGGTGTGTTGGACGGGGGCGGGGGCGGCGGGGGCTGGGGCACGGCGCCGCCCACGTTACTGGCACCTGGTCCACTGCTGGGTCCCGGTCCTGTTTGCTGAACGAGGCTGCAGCTGCCCATCGCTAGCTGGGTTCCYCCACTTCCTGTGGAAGAGGAGAGGCTGGGCGCGAAGGAGCAGCTGCTGGACTGAGAGGAGGAGGACGGGGTGGCTGACGTGGACGATGAGGAGGACGAGGAAGCTGTGGACACTCCCACTACCACGGCAGCTGATATGCCCCCTCCATTACCCCCGTTTCCCGTCCCGTTACCCCCACCCCCCATGGTGGAGTCGTAGCTGCTGGGGTTGTCGTAGTTCTCGGTCGTGCTCTCGATGCTGCCGAGGTCACTGAAGCCACTGTCCACGACCTGCTGCGAGTGGTCCGAGACGGACGGCACGTCCATCATTGGGGAGGTCTCCATATTCTGCTGGGAGGGGGCCGACAGAGAACTGGGATGCTCTGGTGTGATCTGAGTGTAACCGCTGCCAGAGCCGCCGTTGTTGCTCCCCGATCCRGTGGGACCGGGCGTCCCCCCTCGCTGCACTGCGGGCGCTGAGTCCACGATGCCCGAGGGCAGCCCAGGACTGTTAGCGGAGCGCACAGACTGGTTGGGCAGGGGTGGCACGGGGGGGTTTGGTAGGGGGCTGCTGTGTTGTGAGGCGCCACACTCCTCCACTAAAGCCAGCGCCTCCTCCTCGGTCTCTCCTGCGTGGCTGTAGCTCTGCAGGGTGYGGCAGGCGGCTAAGGTCTCCTCACAGTCCTGATAAGCCCCGTGGTGCGGCTGCGGCTCAGCCTCCTCGTCCTGGGCTTCCCCCTGCGTCAGGGACTGCACTGCCTGCATGGTCTCCAGGTCCAGCTCGTTGGAGTGCTGGTGCGGGTGGTGTGGGTGATGGTGGCCGAGGTCCTCCTTGAAGTCYGGGTGCTGATGCGGGTTGGGGTGCTGGGGCTCCATCAGCAGGGTGACGTCCTTGTCGTCGGGGTGCAGAGCCTGCAGCTGCATGGGTTCAGAGGGAACAGACATGGCCGTGACGGTCTCCACCGCTGCAGCTGCCGCAGCAGACTCCTCCTGCTCCCTGCGCTGCCTCTCCTCCTGCTGAGGGTCGGCAGCAGGAGGCGGACACTTGGGTTCTGGAGCCGACTCCTCCTCAGCCTCCTCCTCCTCTTCTTCCTCCTCCTGCTTGCTGATGTAATCTCTGGCCACGCTGTTCTCCATGTCTAAAAAAGCCTCTCCGCCTTGGGGTTCTTCTTTGACGGGAGGAGAGTTGGCTCGTGAGGCGGGCTCCTCCTCGTCCTCGTCTTCGTCCTCCTCTTCGTCGTCCGACTCTGGTCTTTTTCTCGTCTTGTTGCTGCTCTTGTCTTCTAAGTGTCCGTCACCTTCGTCGTCTGCGTCGTGGTCTTCGCTGCGCCGGCTTCCAGAACCTGGCGTAGCTGCGGACCGTCTGTTGAGCCCGACCCCTCCGCTCCCCATGCTGCCRCTTTCCTCTTCCTCTCGCTCTTCATCGTCATCTTCCTCCTCCCTGTCGCCCATGTCTGCATCTTGGGGTCTAGACTGTGAAGCCCGATGCCCTGACGCTGAGGAGGAGGAAGAGGGAGACAGCAAAGGACAAGATGGTGGACGGCTGGGTTTGTCCTCTGCCCAGCCTCTTTCCGTGTCCTCCTCCTCGTCGTCCTCCTCCTCTTCATCGGGCTCAGAGGTAGCAGGGGCTTTGGGGACAGGCTGCAGAGACTGGAGGAGCGGGCGGTTCTTTGGAGGCCTTCCTCGCCTCCTGGGCAACTTCTGTTCAACCGCTTTGGAGAAATCGTCGTCGTCTTCATCGGAGTCTTTCTTCTTGCTGGTCCCACAGAGTCTCTTGGTGGCGTGGTCGTCTGACTGATGCAGCTGAGGAACAATGCCAAGTTGTCTTTCCTTCTCTTGCCTTTCTGCCTCCTCCCGCTGCARGTACCAGCTCCGGGGCTTGCGGCCAGGCTTCATCTTGATTTTAGGGGGCTGGGGATCYCCGCTTTGAACCTGGCTGTCTCCGGTTGCCTCCTGGTTGGGCCCGCCACATGGAGATTTCCCCATTTCGCGTTGCTTCCAGTGTAGCGGTTTGCGGCTTTTTCCCTTTGGCCAGCCTTTCTTCTTCTTGACCGGGACGTCGGGGTTGGTCGTCGGCATCTCTGACGGAGCTGCTGTCAGAGCAGATACAGGCTTCAGCACAGGCGTCAGCCCTGAAGAGACGACAAGAAACAAAACAGAATGCCATCCATTAAACACGCATCACGTGTGTGTGTACAACCAGTGTTGTATAAAGTACCACAAAGTGATACTTGAGTAAAAGTACAAGTATCTTACCAAAAAATTACTTTGGTAAAAGTTAAAGTCTCCTTTAGGAATAAGATAAGATAAGATAAACCTTTATTGTCATTGTACAGAGCACAATGAAATTAAAGTTCAGAACAACCATTCAGAATATCACTTGAGTAAAATTCTTGAAGTATCTTATATTTTTTGTACTTAAGTATTAAAAGTAAAAGTATTGATTTAAAATGAGTAGTTAGATTTTGCATAATGACATATATTAGGAGGTGACCTCCCCAAAATACAATGCAGAAATGACTGTTGTATTAAAATGATTAACGTATGTTAAATTTAGGATGCTCTCGTCTAGCTGTTTCAGTTTATATTCTGTATTTATTCATGAATAATACTAGAAATTTAACTAAAAATCATCCATAATGTGTGTGTGTGGGGGGGGTACTATACACAGGTTATTGATAATTTGATTTTTTTTAAGCTAAAAAAAGAATAAAAATGATCGTATTATACATGAATAAATACAGTACATATATCAAGGGTGACCGAACCTTTTCTCCAAAATGAAAATCTATCTGAGGGCTGTGGCCAAATTCAATAATATAATACATGAAATACAAATACTTCTTAAGTACAGTCCTTTAATTTTAATGATTACGTCCTGCTGGAGTGTGACATGATTTGTTTGTGTAAAAACTAATACAGTATCAGAATATTTATACTTCTCATTCAACCACAGTTAAATTCACTTTATCTAGGAGGCACAATTTATATGGATAGTATTTATTTTTTACAACAAGCTGAATGAAAACAAGCAAAAATGAAATAAAAGTAACAACTTTCTACTTCTTGCCTTTTTTAAATGTAAGAAGTAGAAGTAAAAAGTAGGCTGAAAAATAATTACTCAAGTACAGATACCCCAAAATTCTACTTAAGTACAGTAAAGAAGTATTTGTACTTAAGTTACTTTACAACACTGTGTAAAACCAGTGTACAGAAAAACATCCACTGTGTCTGCACTGCTCACCATCTTCCTCTGAGTCGGTGAGGTTGGAGTGGCAGAGTCTTTTGGGTGCTGGTTCACACAGCCTCAGGGCAGATCTTGCAGGGGGATAGCGGCGCAGCGGGTGGCCCAGAGACCTTTCCTCTACTAGTCTGGGCATAGGCCTTTCWGAGTCCGAGTCCACGAAAGGCTCGTCCAACACCTCTGTAGTTTCAGAGATGGTCTCTGTCACCACGCTGCTTTGAGGGTGGCTGCGTGGGCGAAAACGAGGCCTCTTCAGGGGCTTCTAGGGAGAAACCAGGGTGCTGAATTAGATATGCTTTTCAAACATCGCCACGTTGTTAACACACACACACACAAAAGGTTTTTGTCTTGAAGCATGTCACCTTGTATTTGTGCCCTATTGCTGGCTTGGTAAGGATGGGTGGGGAGCAACCCCTACCCTCTTCATCATCGTCGTAGTYGTCGTCGTCGTCATCATCATCCTCTTCCTCACTGCTTTCGCTGACCAGCGGAGCATCGGTCAGCCTGGACATGACAGAAAGCTGGCTCAGCCCCTCCGCAGACATTTCTAGCAGTCTGGGCTTCGGACCCCTCTTTTTCCTGGGGGGTCTCCCTCTCCGAGTTGTCGGGGTTATTGACGGGTGCCTGGCCATGTCCAGTGAGCGAAAAGTTGCCGAGTCAGCTTGTCTGTCCAAGGAGAAAAGGGAAGGAGGGCTGCAGGAAGAAGCCAGCGTTCTCCTTCCCCCGGTTGTTTCCTCATCTTCGTCGTCTTCATCTTCCACCGAGTCGATCTTGGGTGGCCGTCCGACCCGTGAGCTGTTCTTTATTTTGCCCCAAGGCCAGTTTTTTGGTGGTCGCCCCCGGGGCCGACGCTCTCCGTTTGTTGGTGGCGGGGGTCGCGGTGGTTCTGGGACAGGTGGACAGTGGACGGAAGGGGAACTCGGGGAGCTTTGGCTAATGGGAAACCCCAGGAAGCCCTTTGTGTCCTCATCTTCCACATTCTGCTGCAACTGCCAGGGAGCTGGTGGGACCTTCTGGCTTGGTTTGACCTATTCACACATTGTAAAAATAAAATAATATTATCATCGAACAAATAACGCAACYTGGAAATCGCTCCGTATATTTCTCAAATGTAATTTCCATACCTCCTTGAGAATGTGCTCCTCTGCTTCTTCTTCCTCTTCGTCGTCATCATCTTTGTCGGAGTCAGACACCACGGTGTTTGTTACAATTACCGGAGTCCAGCGGAGACACTCGGGGTCAACTTCCAGCTGCCGTGGTCGGGCCTTTAGGCGAGCCATGTGGTTAGCCACCACCTTGTCCCTTCGCACCAGCACCAGTCTGAAACAAACRTTTTGCATTCAAACTCACCATAAAATATTTCATAATTCTGTTTTTTTTGTGACCGAGCAATGTTACAAATTATTTCTCCCATGGTATGAACAAAGGGCCTCATGCAAGAACCGTTCGTACGCACAGATTTGTTCTTAAGTTGTGCGTACGAGTGATTTAGGAGAATTTGTGGCATTCACCAATGTTTTCGTATTCTAMGATTTTTTTCAGWTAYGAACAAAATTTACGAGTGGTCCAGACCTGTCGTATATTTTACGARCAGTCAGTCTGCTGTTATCCAGACGGGATTTCTTCACTAATAACTTTATATTTYGTTAGTTTGAAGATATTTTGAGTTGAAAATAAATCACACTCCATAATTATGTTGACAATAGGCTATTCTGCTTGAATTGGAATTATAATTTTAAATAATATTGACTAACAACAAAAATTGGTTAAGTTAAATTGGCTATTAATGCTGTTGTATAACACTACAATTTTAATGTGAAGATTTCAAACTAAAAAACAACTTAATTATTTGGTGGTGGTGGGGTGGGGGGTTGCTCTTCTTCTGAATAAATGAAAACTATGTAACACAGTTGTTTACACTTAAATTAAAAAAATTTGACCAAAGAAATACCAGAGCAGGACTAGAGAGAGATAAATATGATTTAAGATTTTTATTTCTGTGTCTGTATACGACCGGAGACATGACATTAACAGCAGTCGTCATTTCATTCCTCGGCTTTAGCAGGTCTGACGCTGCTAAAAATGACATACTGTATCTCTTTTCTGGATCTTTGAGAGCAGGACTTCAATCTCCGAACTCRTAACGTTCTTCTTTTTTACTTTGCGATGGGACACYTCCTGGTATGTGTGGCAGGAAAMGTATATCCTTCTGTGGTGTTTTTGGGGTGGTAATTATGCTCATCTYCCCTCCCCGTGCAYGAGCACCTGATACRCATTYATCAGTTTACGCAGCTCATTTACACACTTTTCCTGAAGATTGAAGAGTTTGTTGAATCTGACGTGTCATGTTCGTACGAACATAAGAGAAATTTAGGATAAGAATATGTTCTTGCATGAGGCCCAGTGAGAGCAGCTACAGTCTCGTCTCTGACCTTTCTCCTCGCTGCTCCAGCATGTTGAGACTGTGCAGGGTAGTGGTGATGTCCTGCGGGCAGATCCCTGTCAGTTTGCTAAGTTGCCGTATGGTGATCTGTCGGTCACGGAACTCGTGGAGACACTCCAGCACCACGCTGCGCCAATAGGCCATGTAGGACAGCCGGCCCAGGTCTGACAGAGGCTTCTCTGGAGATCCGGGCTGTCCCTCCCGCTTTGAAAGCAAGTAGCCTTGAGKGGGAGGAGGCAGAAACCAAGACATAAACATTACCCAAAAATCTATTTAATTTTTTATCACTGTGTTCTGCTTGAAACTGGAGTCCTTACTGAAGTCKATGAGAAAGCGCCCGTAGCCCTTGCGCTGGTATTGTGGAAGAATCATGATGCATGATACGTTGTATTTTTGTTGACAGTGCTTCTCCTGAAAAATGTAACAAAAAAAAACATTTAACATGAAGCCATAACCCATAAAATGTGTTTTATCTATAATTTTTTTTAATATAAATGAAATTTCAGATTTTTGCTGAGAGGAGGAGGGCAGGATGGGCTGAAATTCTCSTACCTTGGAGAAGTAGCCAACGAGATGACAACCTTTGCTGTCGTTCTGGGTCAGGACGTAGAAAAGGAAGGGCTCTACATCATAGTAGAGGGTCTTGTGGTCCAGAAACAGCTTGGCCAACAGGCACAGGTTCTGACAGTAGATTGTGCTCACATTTCCGTCAACCTGTTAGGAAAACCAAGAAAGAGGAATCAGTACATTTTAACCACTGCTGTTAATTCTGTGAAACTCTAAAGAGGAATTCTATGTTCGAGCTTTTACACAGGAGCAAAATGAAGTTCACTGGAGTGGAAGATGAAGTAAGGCTGAGGTTGTTAAAGGACAGGCTGTAGAGCAGGAGAGGCTAGAAGAAAAACTGAACTCTAAATTATTAATCTTTACATCCCTCTGACCATAACAGTCACTGTCCCCAATGATACAAACTAAAYATCACCTCAGTTATCATAAAGTTTGGTTAATATTTTGTTGCACTTAAACCCTCTGTTGTTTCAAACGCTGTCAGTGAGTTTTACTGAAGCTGCAGGGAAAGATGTGTGTAATAACTGTTAAGTGTTGTGGGAAAGTGGATGCAGCAGTACTGTGGCCAGGGGGGTTCAGCAGAACTCAACTCTGTCTTCCTGAAACCTCCTTACCTCAAACACAGAGACCTCATCCTTCCTGTAAATCTCATTGGCTGGAGGGTGGAACCAGTTGCACTTCTTCATGTGCTGGTAGAGGATGCTGCGACTCTTCATGTAGCGCAGGCAGAACTCGCACAGGTAGAGCTTAGGTAGTCTGGAGAGGAAAACGAGCAGAAAAGCTTTAAAAAGTTGCCTGACATGCTGCAGTAGGTGGTACTGGTGAACATCCTCATCGTTGGTTTCTTTAATGACCACAACTACGTGCTGAACTGTGAGCCCATACGGTGTTTTCTGGGTCTTTCAGAAGARCCAGCTTACCTGCTGTACTCCTGCGGGTAGGGAGACGAATACCAAGTCTGGATTTCAAACTTGCCAAACTCGATGACTGCTGGACAGCGCATCTGAGGGTCTGGTGGGCCCGTCACGCCGACTTTCTGTTGGAGAGAACRRCAAAGAYAAAAAGAGAGAAAGGAGGGAGAAAYGAGCGAGGTCAGGTCCAGGTTTGTCACTGCAGAAAACCGACAGATCCTCGGTCAAAGAAAACGTTACACCTCAGGTGTTAACTCCTGCATGACACGTGTTCATACATGCAGAAACACACAAGCAGCTTCTGGAGTCTTCCTTGACTTTTAGAGGCAACATCTWGCCTCTTTACAGGCCTGCAGAGGTTTTGACAACCACATCCTTTATGCTGCAGCTACTCATCCTAGATAATCACGTTTTTTTATTGTGCRGTATTTGCTCTGCAAGCATCCAACACTTCTGCTCCATCCGTTTAAGATGGACCGTTTTTACTGGGACTMCCATGATGCTGTCAGTTTACAGCRGAACATAAGCTCTGAACATTAAAGTGGTGAATTTATGTTTTCTCTCTTTAACCGCTRGCTGACCTGTCAGGACACAGACTATAACTTTTACAGCCTAACTGAGACGCGGGAGAAGAGCCGTGCACTTCTGGCTATGTCAACACTGAGCAGCTCTGCCCTGACCAATCATGTAGCAAGAGTTTTCCATCAATCACAAGAAGAATGCAAAGTTCAGGCAAATTTTTAATGACAACAATCCAGTGYAATTACCTTGCAGCACAGCTTTTGTCTGACAATCACGCTTAGTATTTGCATGTGCTGGATGCTTAAATCCAGTGTTTAATCTCTGGTGGATCGTAGTTTCAGCATCTGTCTCTGGCCTGGGTGTTCAGCATCCATAGTAACGGATGATTTTAATATTCATGTCGAACCTGGCAGCTGGTCCAAACCAAATTCAATTCTCTTCATTGCTAAAAATTAAATTGTCCCCTAGCTCGCTGGCCTATCCACCCCACAGAGGTGCACAGTTCTTGCAGAAAAAATATATAAAATTCTCAAACTTTATCTATAATAAGCTGCCAGATGTGGACTCTGTTTCTCATCACCACTAAGACGCTCTAAAACTGTTTCCACGTTTTAAAGGCAGATCTGACGGGAGATTAGAAATGTTGGTAGAACCTCAAACTAAAAGAGAAATCTGCTCAATCATCTGCAGGAAGAGATGTTTAATGTGACCTCAAAAAACTTTTTTGTTATTAGACACTGTTATTTTATATCTCTTCAGACGTACCTGACATGTTTCGACATGTTACTTCCATCTTCACGATGAAGACGGAAGAAGGTGAATTCTGAAGTTTTTAAGATTCATCAGATGTATAAAAACACAATGAACTTCATTGATTATGTGAATGTTTCATGTGATGAGTTGGCTCTCTGGCTTTGCAAAACCAAACCTAACAGCGCTAAAAGCGTACCGGTTAGACTTCAGTCTCTGTCTGCGTACCTGTAGTGCCAGCTCCTGAATGTGTCTGAACAACTCGATGTCTTTTTCTGTCAGGTTCTCGTGGCCGGGCAGTTTCTCATCTTCGTCGCGCCAGTCGCTGCCGTCCTGATTGTCTGAAGATTAAAACACTTCAGTCAGCATTAAAATAAAAAAGTGTTTAGCATGAAACACTTTGTAACAAAGCCCAGGAGAGAGAAGCAAACTTAGAACACTTTTAATGATAAACCTATTAAAGTAAATTAAATAAGATAAATGGCAGAATAAAGATACTGGCTGCATTTTAAATAAATCTCAAACTGTCTAATCAAATTACAAAACAAATTCAGTGACATTTGGACAAAACTGATGYAAATCAATTAATCTACAACTTCCAGTTAAGTCAAATTAAAGCAAATTAATAATTTAACAAGGCACAGAGCTTATAAACTGTAAACAAAATGTATATTTTTAACTGTTGAAATGTTTTTGCCAACATTGTTGTTATTTTTACGTATGCTAAAATACTCTGCAGTTGTAAATCAGATAAAAAAATTTTAACGACTCAAACTTGGTGACCCGGCTCAAAACCAAACAACAACAGACTCTCACCGCCCCGGTCGTCTCCCTCCCCTTTGCGGCTCGCTTTCTTACGAATGCGGCACTGCTGGGAGTAATCCACCGTTTCGTGGCGCGCCTTGCGGCCTTCGGGCGACGGTGTGAAGAACTTGGTGAGGGCGTCGATGAGGCCCTTGGTCTTGTTGTTGAAGTGCAGGCTGCCGTGCGACTGGTCGCCGTCTCCGCGCATCGAAAACAGCAGCCGGTCGTCCCCGGGGTAACCCTCGCAGGAGGAGCTGGAGGAAGAGTTGGCCGAGGTGGAGCGCTTCCTCCGACCACGGCCACCCAGCTTCTTGAAGGGCCGCCCCGGCCTGTGTGGGGACGGTCAGAGGTGCCGTTAATATTATAAACACAAAAACTAGCACATCAAGTCCTGCTAAATCCAAGCACTCTTCATCCAGACACTACTGTCAGGGCTCCTACAGTTTAAGGCAAGTTAAATTTAAGACTTTTTAATGCCAAGGGAAATTAAATTTAAGACCAATTTCATAATAAACACAAATGACAAAAAAATAAAAATAAAAACTGGCAGAAACTCTTGAATCCAAGTATTTTTGGTTGAATTATTCAAATATTGCTAATAGACCAATTGTTCTTTTTCCATATCTAACTATAACAGAAACATTCTTGGCAGTCAGTTTTAAATTTTATTTAATTTCAGGAAATCCTCTAACGACCAAAAATTTGGACTTTTAGGGCCCACGGTGGGGTCTTAACCCTAACTCGCTGTAGATAAAACCTTAAAGTGTCTGTGACATCAGTTTTTTGTAAGAAAAGTGAATGCATTTTTGTAAAGACAACATTAACATATTACAAAATTAATGTTACATTACTCAGATAAACAGTTGAGATATTTGCATGTGAAATAACAGGAAGTGATGTCAAAGGGGAATGTCTGCATGTGAATATTTAAAAAAATAATAATTTTTATCAATTATTTTAATTTTTGAGATGAATTACAACCATCCTATTTACAAAGTGTTAACATTTTTAAGACTTCTGAAAGACTGATTTAAGACATTTTAAGGCTAATTAAGGCCTTAATTTTGGCTGATGAATTCAATGACTTTTAAGACTTTTTAAGGATCTGCAGGAACCCTGACTTTGTTACGAAGCTGTGTTGCAGTTCATAAAACTAAATAGTTATTTTTCTCTCACAGTTTTGTAACATGAACACAGTATTTTGCAGCAGTGACAGCAGAAGACACAAAGAGTTGGGTGAAGCTCCGCACCGGTTTTTGGGCCGCCCCAGCGGTGCGTTGTAGCGCCGTTTGATCTCCGCTGCCTTTTCGTGTAGAAGTGTCTTTCCCTTTTTTCGGGGTTGGCAGATTTGACAAATCCACATGCCTGAGAGACAGAGCGAGAAGGAGCATGTGAAGACTTTCCAGCTGGAGCTCAGGAGACAGTTTAACCTCCATTAACCTTCATTAAAGCACTTTTTCAATTCATTTTTAATTCAACCCTTCAAAGCTACCATGTTGGRAACATGAGGTGATAATTTAAGTCTTGTACGGCCTTTCACATGTAAATGACGTACAAACAGAATCTGGAGGGGTAGATTACAACCCTCTGCCACGTGTGCTGTTTATAATTACTTTCTTACATTTAGTGCCTTAAATTTAGTCTTACCAATTTGCTGCTAATGTCTGAATATTGTATATGCACAGAAGAGCTTTCCTTATTTTTATAAAGCATGTCTGAATGAAAAATGTGACCCATCACATCAAATCAAGGATCAAGTCAGATTTGAGCCAACTAAATTACCATAAGCATATTTCCAGATTCATGCCTTTTTAGGCTACGACTGGAGAACTTACATCAYTGATATATGGCTTGATTTGTCCTGCTTATCAGGAAGACCCCTGGAAAATCCTATTTAAATCCTAAAATTTAAATCCTATTTATAGCATGATTATTTACCTTTTGGCATCCGTGTGAGAGGAGGATCACAGCACTCCATGTGGAAGCCCCGGTCACATGAGTCACAGAACAACATGTTGTCCTGCACAAACACAGGTGCAGAGAAACATCACCTTTAGATGCATATCAGACTTCTGGTTCTGCTGCCTAATCTCTTCTTATTAAGTCAGAATTGATCAGAATGTGATTCGTGTCCATTAGCACACACACAGAACTTTGGTAAAAACACTTCARTGTCATTATGCAAAAGAGAGTATTAACATTAGTGCAGTTGTCTCTGCCCTCATACATCCTTCCTCTTCACGCATCGTAGCAGCGARCTGTGCGTTTCCTCTCGTAACAAACGACTCCTCGCTTTGACGAGGCTAAAGAAAAAAAAATCCTGCTTGATAAAAATAGCTCCGTCCCAGGACCACAGACATGTCGATCAGAAACACTATCTGGCGCTGAAGTGAAGACGGCGAGCATTCAGAGGTGCTCTCTGGCTGCCGGTCYGCCATGTTTGCTCATCCACTCACCGCGTTCTTTCCTTGATCCTGACAGCTGCTGCACGTCTTGCACTCGATGCACTGCCACCACAGAGCCTTCACTCGCACCGTGAGCTCTGGAGAGAACTTTAGACAGGACGGGTGGCCTGCAGGTAGACACACACAAACACACACACAAAAAAAAATCACAAGTGCATCAACATCACACAGTTTTTTTTTTTTTTTTTTGATCACGGCCGACTGACAGCTCTGACACATTTGCCTCTTTGCAAATGGAAAGGGGGGGAAACAAAATATTGAAAGCCTGCGTTGAAGCAAACCAGGCCACAAAGTGAGTGTTCAAATATAAGTGACAATCTGTCAGAGCGGCRCTTTTGCTCTCTTGGAGGAAAAGCAAACAGAAAGGGCCTGACTGAGACATAAACCTGCTGAGGGCAGAGGAAAAGCAACATCACTACTCTGCTTTCAACCTCTTCATCAGGCCTGAGCTCAAACTCTACAGCTTGGTTTTAACAGAACRACAACAGTTTTTAAACTATCCATAATACTGCAAAACCTGGGCTGATCAAGTAAATGTTTTCTGGTTTTAATACCTGAAACAACAGTTAATGGCACTGAAACAAGCTAAATTACACACTGCCCACAGAATGGGAGTTTACTCATAGGGAAACAAAATAAAAGGTATTTTGACCAACAGAAAGATAAAACAGAAAAAGGCAGAAGTAGTAGTTCAAAACATTAAACGGGCAGATAAAGCTGAGAAGCTAAGCAGTGATTGCTGACGGTGATAAAAGCACAGACTTGAGCAGCAAACGCAGCACCGATTCGAGCACTGAGAGCTACGTGATTTGTCAAAGCGTGACAGGCTGAGCTGGAGGTGTTAGCTGAAGTGTAATCACYGAACGCTAAAAATCCTGCAATTAAACAAAAGGAGAGGGAAGCGGTGAAAACTGTCAGGGTTTGTGGAAGGGCTAAAAGCATCTGAAGTGTCAGCTAAAGTCTGCGAGTGTTCTGACGGAAGACTTTACTATTTATCTGGATTTACAGAGAAGCCAAGAGAAGAGAGTTCCCAGCTCCTCTCTGGAAAGGTTTCTACCTTTGGTTGTTTGTAAACTGCACACAGCAGTACCAATAAAACAGTATGTGAGTGAGTGAAGCACATCCATATTGTGGCTGATGGAAAACTGAGCAAATAAACCAGTTAGAAGTGTGGTTTTTTAACTGAACGTGGAGCAACACTCACCACTGTTGCCACAGTCGGCGCAGGAGATGAGCTCCTCCGGCTTCTTGTCACGATTCTGCTCCTTGGTCCCCAAACAGAAGCTGCAGATGGGGATGGGCTCTGCCACCGGCTGATGGAGGGACAGAGGAGAGAGAGTTGCGATCGTCAGTCACTTTAACAGCTTCACTGCACAACACAGAACTGTGTATACAACAAGTTAACGGTGGGCTGAGGATCACGGCGACACCACAGAGCGTGCCTCCGCCATAGGACGGGACAACGAGGAGCGTGAGAGCTGCTGTGATGTCTCTGCTGGGCTATTTGCTCACAGACTGGAACTGGGTTGTTTTTTGGGCCGACTGGCCGAGGTGCTTATTTCCACTGCAACCTGTTCCGTACGCAAACCATGTAAGCAGGTGTGGACTCCAAAATAAACAACTGTGGTTTGTTCAGAGGCACAAAGCTAAGAAAACAAAGAGCCGGATGATTCTTGACCTGTCAAACGGAACAACTGTGACCAGCAACGCTGGAGGATCACATCCTGTACACACTGCAGGTGCTCTTCACACAGACACCGCAGAGGAGGGAAACAAGTCTGCTTCAAAGTTGGTGTTTGGAAAGGCCTGAGGGGAGGTGGTGCCTTACTTCACCTCAGTGTAGACTGATCCTGACTACAGAGCACTTACAGGGCTCCTACAGTTTAAGGCAAGTTAAATTTAAGACCTTTTAAGACTTTTTAATGCCAAGGGAAATTAAACTTAAGACCAATTTCATGAAACTGTCAAAATGACAAAAAAAATTAAAACTGTGGCAGAAACTCATAAACCAAAGCATTTTTGGTTGTAGTACTGTATTCAAATATTGCTAATAGACTAATTGTTTTTTTCCATATCTAACTATAGCAGAAACATTCTTAGCAGTCAGTTTTATACTTCATTTAATTTCTGGAAATCCTCTAACAACCCAAAATTWGGAGTTTTAGGACCCACGGTGGGGTCTTAACCCCAAATTTGCTGTAGATGAAACCTTAAAGTGCTCGTGACATCAGTTTTTTGTAAGAAARGTGAATGCATTTTTGGAAAGACAACATTATTAACTAATTACAAAACTAATTTCAGGTTGCTCAGATGAACACTTGAGACATTTGCATGTGAAATAACAGGAAGTGATGTCAAAGGGGGATGTCTGCATGTGAATATTTAAAAAAATAATTTTTACCAATTATTTTAATATTTGAAATGAATTAAACTAATCCTTTGTACAATGTGTTAACATTTTTAAGACTACTGAAAGACTGATTTAAGACATTTTAAAGCCACTTAAGGCCTTATGTTTGGATTGATGAATTCAATGCCTTTTAAGACATTTTAAGGATCTGCAGGAACCCTGACTTACAAATCAGTAGTGCCTTTAATTAGAAATGGTTCACTGTGATATCAAATTCCACATGAACTTGAGTTGTTRTCTTATTATTCCACAGTAAGAGAGTATGATAATGTAGACAGATGGGTCACATTAAAGAACAATTTATTAGTTAGGTATTTAGAACAATCATGTCTGCATCATGGTCATAATAACTTATTTTTCTGCAGAACAGTGAGGGAAACAATGTGATCAATTTTATCATTTATGATGCAAACACATTTTTTCGCCTAAAATCTATCTTCTTATAATTTGGAATAACAACTCAACAGTAAAATGATCATTGTTTAACAAAGTTTAGCAAAAATACAGTCAAGACTGTACAACTAAAAGTTCAGTGCTTCCTCGGGGTGCTTAAATCTGAGTCTTTTATAAACAAGCCATAACAGCATTATTTTAAAAAAATGGAGAACATTAAACTAAACTTAAAACACACAATATGTTATATAATTGGTATAGAAAACTTGTTTGAAACCCTTGTATTGTAAATGTGTTCGATTCGATGGAGCGGTGTCAATAAGCACAATGCTGTGTTGCTTTACTGACACTACAGAATAATAGATGCTGTATTTCATGTGTTGCTGGATAGTTTTCAGCTTGAAAAGTTAAAATTTGTGTTCTGGCAAAAATTCATCCAAGTCTGTATTTCTTTATAGTCAAATATCTTAGTTTTATCATATATTTAGAAGTACAGTGTAGTGCAGGCTTGGGCGGTATGACAGTATTTTGACATACCTTGGTATTAAAGTATGGTGAGGGTATTTAAATGTTGTGGTATATTAATCCTTTGGAGTCTAGTCACAGGACCTATTAAATCACATTAGCCAGAAAGATATGCCTTCTCTGAGACTGTTTCAAATTAAGACTAAATTAGAGATTTCAAACTGTATACACCAGTTTTTATATTGTGTTTAAAGGCCAAATTCTTCTTGACAGAAAAAAATAACCCCCCGCACAAGCCACAGACAATGCACCCCCCCAGTGTTACCCTATACCATGGTATTATCTAAAAGATATGTCTGTGTGAACAAAAATTAATCCTACCCAACCATCATGTAAACCACTCTGAATCATCTTGTTGCTGAAAAGTACTAAATAAACTTGTTTTATCCCCCCTCCTGTTGCCCTCGAGTTATTCTGACCCATGAGGCTTTGTGGGTCAGGATGACCCAAAGGCAACAGGAGGGTTAAACTCGCTTCTCCTTTCCATTCTTCTAATGTGTTTTCATGGGTTGATTAGCTGAACTGAGAAGCTAACATTAGCCGACTTCTGTTTCTTCATCTCATTTTCCTGCGTCTACAGTTGATCGTGTCAACAAAACTTCCTGAATTCATAGGTAGTTCAGACATTGTTTTGCAATAAACGTTTTGTTTAGTGGTAAATGTTGTAACTCTTGGATGCCTCAGCTCTCTGGAATGTACCCACCCTCCGCCCCCACTCCACTCTTTACACAGACAGGTTACGGTTTCATTCACTCTTAACATTAAATGTAAAAAAAAAAATCCAGACTCATCATATTACTGTCATCATATTAGTGATATTTTTTTCAAATTCTTGACTTTAATTGATGAAGATTAGATTTATCAAAATACATTTATGCTATATTAGAGGAATAAATCCTAAGAGATAAAYCATTAAACAATAACATTCATGACAAAAACAGTCTGCAAACATTTTGGAAGCATGACAGCCGTGCATGTGAGGCGCTAGCCACACCAAATCCAAGTAGAAATCTCAGTGAAGTTACATATAACAAATGTTTWAAAAAAAGGTTGTTTTCTAGCAAACTGTGAAATGAAGATCTGCGTTTAATCAAACATAAAATTTCTTCCATGTGTGCAAACTTCAAACRCTTTCCAAGTCACTTTAGTAGCAGGAAGTGTCATGAGGAGAGGGGACATTCCAAACAATTTCCAAGGCCYAACATAAACCCCAGTAAGGCGGTTTAATCAGAAGAATATGTAAACCGAGGCACAGTGTGTCCTCAGAAAGTGAGCATTCACATCACGGAGAAGACTTGAAAGAGCTGCACTGCTCCATGCTTGAGCTCGGTGCTCRCTAAACGTGCATCCTGCTCGCTTTCTCAGCTTTGTGGCACAGAGAAACGACAGAAAGCCACTTGTGAAAATAACGTGCATGACATCTGGGCTGGTGCTTGCCAGCAGCCGTATGAGGGAATGTAAAACAAAAAAGGACAGGAAGCCTCTTCTATAAYCTGATGACAATAAAGTGGAGCCTTTGATTAGACCAAAGTCATATGTTTGGTCTGCTTGACACACTGTATCAGAGCAAACAACTTGTGCTGCAGGGAATGCTGCTTTATCAACAAAAGATTCAGAAAATACCTGCTAATGCACAGAAGGCCACCAGCCCAACCCTTAGAAACTGTTTAATACTGATGTTTAATTTACAAACAAATCTGTTTTCCTTTAACTGGCTCTTTGTGTGCTCAGTGTCAAGCCTGCCTGTCATGTTCATTTTTAAAGTGGAGACAATACAACAAAAAGCTTTTTGGAGAAGAATGCATTTACTAACACAAAACATGCAGCCTTTTGATCATAATAAAAAGGCAGATTTAAGTCACTTTGTTATAAAACCCATTACRTCAACCATAAAAAAAAATCACCTTTTGTGAGAATTACATTTCAAACTTCCTTTTTATCATTTAGCATCATGAATATGGTAAATGGACTGAACTTATAGCACTTTATTAGGCCCCATGGGGACCCCRAAGAGCTTTACACTACACTTTCACACAATGATGGTGTCTGTAGTTTGTGAAGTCTACATTAACACATGTTACACTCTGATGGTGTCAGCTGTGATCTGTACAGGACTTGGTAATAAACAYCCTGCTGCATGTAAATAAAAAGGAAGTTGCATTGTAACAATCAATCCTGTAAATTATTACAAATTAGCTGGTCTTCTCCAAAAGGCTGTCCGCCTGCTGCGCCACTAACCTGACTTCACCGCCCCACTAGAAATATTATGCTCTTTCACAAGACAGCCCAAACCAGGACTTGGACATCTTCTGGTCATCTCTGAGTGACTTCTGAATGGAACGACTGAGGTAGTAACGGAGGTGGACCTGGTGGCTGTGGAACTGCCTCCCTTTAATGTTGCGTGACAAAACTCATCATTTTGTCCTCACAGAAGCTTCGTCCACCTCTCCTCAACACAAGGCCTGGGTCAAATAATAATGATGCTATTACAAGTTTAATAATATTTATAGTTTTTTTATTTTTATTTTAATGCACTATATATATATACAG